GGCATTTTTATGGCCAGGTCTGAAAGCGGCGTACATCACCTCTGCCCACATGCCATTGGCTGGAACCCAAACGCATGGTGTCACCTAACTGCAAGTGAGGCCGGGTGACAGTCATCCCACGTGCCGAGGAGGAAGAAACAGGATTGGCAAGTAGCTATCCCATCTCTGGCACAAATGGTAACACAGTGGCTCTATTCCCTGGTGAATGCTACAGTGTGACTCTACTTTGAGATGCGTGATTGTTCCCAGGGAACAAAAAAAAAAGATAAAGTTTCTGAATCTGCAAAGTTGAGGACCGAACCAAGCTGACCCCAAAGTGCGCTCAACCTGTGAAGCTCCTCCAAACACATCTCATCTGGAACACCGCCCACCGGAGTCATCAGGAAAGGACCAAGGACAGGACCTGTGCTGTTGAATGTGTCCGTGAAGTGTGTCCTAAACTTACTTATTTCTAGGATCTCTTCCTAATCGCTCAGAAAGCCAGGTTTTACTGCTGTCACATGCTACCCATGGTTGGGAGGCAGTTGAATAAATACGATTCAAAACAGAAAAAGACAGAGAAAACGAAGGAAGGAGAACGTTAGGGAGGAGAAAAAACTAAACAGTGAAGATTAAAAAAATTAAAAACCCTGTAAATTGGAGAAAGGAAGAGAAGCTAAAGGTGAAGAAATGGGAATATCCAGCTGTTTTTCTTTGTAATCCAGAGGTTCACATGTGCAGAAGAACCATGTCAGGGCCTTGTTAAAATGCAGGTTCCCAGGCCTTGTCCTGTGCAGAACAGGACCGGAGAATCTGCATTGTAATAAACATTCCGAGTGACTCTGATTTAAGACAATCGTTTTAATTGTTACTGATTGTATTGCCACTCATTACTTAATCTAATGTTTTGTTTTCCCCTAAACTTGAGTGGAACTAGTTTACCCCAGATCTCTTAATTTAAAATCGTCACATTTTGGGGGCCTCAGGTTTTAGCTACTTTACCAGAGAGCAAACCTACAAACATTTCCCTCATAAGGAAAACTAGCCCATCGGGTCTAATTACCCACATCCGGTTTTCTAGAAGAATACATATTTGCTCTTTCTGTGGTTCCTTTTCATCAGATGACAGAGCAAATAAAACGACTAGTTAAACTGTAGATTGATAGTGGTTTTCCCACCAGAACCGCCGCTCCAGTCAATAACAAACAATGCTGACGTTTATTCACTAAACATTTTCTGAAGCGTAAGTCACACGTTCGGGTTACATACAAGTCCGCTTCTGATGCAGTTGCTTTGAGGGCCCGGGGTTTAAAAATCTAAGCTAACCCGTTTAAGTGGAATTTTACAAGATTTTTAAATGGCGGAGGTCATTTCCTCGTATCCCCAGAGGTAATCAGATAGAAATGGGTGTGACTAGAAAAGTAACAATCTGAAGCGGGGATTTGATCAGTCAAGGTTTTGATCAGAGACCCCTGCCACCAACCTTTCCGTTTTTGTTTTTTTTTCCCCTCTAAGATTGCATTATTTGTTTTTCTCTATTAAATTTCTTTTTGGCCTTGGCTCATCATTCCAGCCTGTTGAGGACACTTAGAGTCTTGGTTTTGTCTTCTACCATATTAGCTATTCTCCCAACTTTGATTCATCCTCCACTTTGACTCACAGGCCTGTGAAGAGGTTATTTTAAGATGGAGATAAAAACCTGGACCAGGACAGACCCTCACGTCCCTGCAGTGCAATCAGACTCGTTCCGCAAACATACGTTGCCCTCGTTTGCAGGAGGAACCTCAGTATATACCTGTAATCACACACAAAATGAGGGCAGAAAGGTAGCAAATACATAATCTATGAATTGTCAGAGACACAGAGCAGGTGTGGGTTAAGTCAGGGTCAGCATGGGAGGGCGGACAGTAGGGAGGTGACAGCGTGGGACTGAACGATGTCTGTGAAGGCCCACGGGACACTCGACAAGGGTGAATGGTCACAACATCTGTGTGTGTTAGCACCGATGAGGTGACAGTCGCCATGCTAGTAGTGTGAATGCAGCAGCTTATTTAATTTGCACGACGCCTTATAGAAAAGAACTAGTCGCTGCCAGCATGGGCTCAGGGCCGAATGGTTGGGTTTGAATCCTATGCTAGCACTTACTAGTTGTGGCCTTGGGTGTTACTCATCTGCTTGAAGAGCCTTTTGAAAATGATGATAGTAATGGCACCAGGCATGGGCTTGTGGAATTAAGCAGGGAACACCAGCTGCTACAGCAGACAGGCCTTCCAATCTTAATGGCTTAACAGAATAAAGGTTTATTTCACACATATAACGGTCCAAGTGGATGTTCGATGGAGAGCCTTCCACGTGGAAATTTAGGGACCCATGAGCCTTCCATTTCCTGATTCTGCTAACTGCTAGGTAGAGAGAGATGATTTAGGGATGAGCTGGGTGGGGAGGAGAAGGTTATGGCCCAGAGCTAGAAGACATATACATTCCATAGTACCCGGCACTCAGTCACGTGGCTACCCCAACTGCAAGGCAGGCTGGGAAACGGGGTCTGAGCTTCCAGGTGGGAAAAAAACGACTTTGGTCTTTCCCGTATTTGTGAGGATTACATGTAAATTCCCTGGAAGGGGACCTGGCACGATAAATGACAGCGGTTATCGCCATTGCTATCACCAGTGCTGGCTGCGTTCCACACGTGTCCTCCTGGTTCCGATGTCTCAGCTACCTCAGCCTTCTGCTGCAGAGTCCCCCCAGGTGTACCTGCTCCCGGATTTGTGATGCTTTGGGGGTTCTCTCTGTAACTCTTGGCATTTCTGGTATTTCTGGCTCTGTTCTGGGGACACGAACCCAGCATCTTCTCTGAACCCGTCGGTCACCGTTACACCAGGGGGCGGGACGTGAGAGCAAGGACAGGACAGGAGAGTTAAATCTGCATCAACAGCCCGGGAGAGAGCTGCAGACAGAGATGCTGGAGTCGACCTTGTATCAGTGCTGACTGCATCTATGTGCCAATCACACAGTGTGTAATGTGGGAGGAGCTCAGAGATCTGAGTCCTGAGCAATACGACAGAGACGGAGGGCCCTGCTCCCCAGACCCCAGGCATTTGCATACCCCAGCCTGGCGTCACCAGCAGGGCGATGTTCCTAGGCCTTTTCTCAGTTCACTCAACTTTTTTTTTTCTTATGAGATTACTTTAAAGGAAACGTGTTACTACTATAATAAAAGAGAAAGTAGTATCATTTGCTACCAATAGAAAGTACTCCCCGAAATAACTACGAATGGAAACAAACAAAATCCTGTTTCTAGGTTCCAGCTGGTGACTATCGGCCAGAGAAGGCTCTGACTCTGAGACGGCCCTCTTTTTTTGTTTTGGAAAAGAAAGCTTAGCAAGCATTAGAAAGGCGTTATATTCACTCCAAACGGAGGCTTTCTCTTTGTTTCAAAGAGCTGAAGGAGAACTAAGCGAGAACCCATATTCCCACTACACGACTCACACGCCATGTTGTGCTGAGTCAGGGCTCAAACCCAGAGAGGGACATTTCATATAGCGAACGCAGCCTTGCTTGTGGCCCTGTACCATCCAAAATGACCCCTCTGCCACCAGGGGGGTATGAATCCCTCACTTTGGGAAAACCAGAAGAGATGGAGGCACAGCCCCTGGGGCTAGAGACATCCAGAACGGCAATGGTCAGTGTCACATAATGCAGAGAGGCCAGGCAAAGCCAGGACCGGAAGGCCCCTTCCCCCAGACTTGGCAACCAGGGACCACTGGTGTCTTCGGCAGAGTGGACTGAAGGGTGAGGGCCCAGTGCCACGGCTGAAGAGTGAACAGGAAGTGACACAGTGGAGAAACGGCACTGAGGAGCCCGGCTGCGAGGGGGAGGACAGAGACAAGGCGCCACTTGAAACTCAAGGAGATGTTTTGCTTCCTTGTGTAAACGCGGGAGATGTCTGAACATGCTTTTCGATATTGGGGAAGGAGATGGATGGGAGCCTGTAAGTCATGGACGAAGCAAGGGCCGGGTTTGGGGAGGACGAGAAGGGTTCAGATCAAGGTGAGGGCACTTGCAAACCCAGGTAACTGTTTGGGTGTAGGTAGTGGCGGGGGGAAGTGGAGGGAGTTCATGTCTGGAGCCTGATTTTCCTGTCAAGTCAGGTGCGAGATGATTTCTTAGGTAAAGGTTAAAATTTGAACTACTGGTTCTCCAGATGAAAGAGTATATTAGTAAGGCTTCTCCAGAGACCCAGAACCAATAAAAAGTGTTTATATATCCTTCCTACTGAGATAGAGAAAGAGTTTTTAAGGAATTGAGTCGCATGATTCTGGAGGCTGGCAAGTCCAAACTCTGCAGGGTAGGACTGCAGGTTGGAGACGCAGGGAAGGGTTGATATTGCAGCTGAACTCCAAAGGCAGCCTAAGGCAGAATTCTCTCTTCTTTCTGGGGACCTCACTGTGTTCTCTTAGGCCTTCAACTGATTAGATGAGGCCCACCCACACTACGGAGGGTAATCTGCTTTACTCAAAGCCCACTGCTCTAAATATGAATCTCATTTAAAAAAATTACCTCCACAGCAACATCGAGACTGGCATTTCACAAAATATCTGGTTACTGCCACCTAACCAAGTGGACACATAAAATTAACCATCGCAAATTATTAGTGATCTCATTTACATTAATAGAAAACCATGCTTGATCTTTGGACCACAGAGTTCCTAATGGAGCCAGAGCTGATAAAGACAGCGTAGAGGAGCCATGGGGATGACCCACCCATGGGAGCCCATCCCACCTTCGAGAAGAGTTACCATCTCAGCAGAGAAGGATTAGACCTATGAAAGCAAAGCTTCTCAGTGCAAATTCCGATCTTGAAGCCTCAGTCATGAACTGCTGGGGACCCTTCTCCTGCCACGCGACCGGCAGGACACAGGTACTTTCAAGATGAAAAGCGACAGGAGTTACCTTTTCGCTCTTTCTCCTTCCTCTATTTTCAACGCGGGTCAAAGGCATATACTTTTACCTCACTGAGATCAGTACGATTATTTATTTTCAAGGCTGCCTTTTCTTGCTGTAATAGAATTTCCAGCTGAGCTTATTCTTCCTTTCGCTCACGAGCCTTTTCACATCCATCCCGTCCTTGGCAAGAATCCTTGGAGAGTAGCCTGGGACACACCTAGTGGTAAGCCGCCTTCTCTGGGTTGAGGGTGCATCTATTCTGGTCGCAGGCTTTGTGATCTGGACAAAAGGAATTTAGAGGATGTCTCTGTCAAATTGTCAGGCAATACTAAATTTGGCGGGCCAGCTGAATTCTAGCTGAAAATCGTGCAAAATAAGGTTTAGCAACTGGGGAAAAACTGGCACACAGGAAAGACAATTAGATGAAATTCAGTAGAACTACAAGGCCATAGGATGCTAACTCTAGCCATGTGACCCTGTAGCACAGGAATCAATTCTCAGAGTTTTGGAGCCAAAGGGACCTTGGAGAAAAAGCCATCCTCTACTTTTACAAGCAGCAGAAAAAAACGTTTCCTCCAACTTTGAAAGGTTATGGATCTCAAAGTTCACGTCCTCTGAACTTCCCTGATTCTGTTCCAGATCCTCAATCGGAATTCCATGCACCTACCCCTCCAGTCCCATAGAGCCATGCTCGTCACGCCGAAGCATTTCCTTCGTAGGCCTCCTGCCGACTACCTTTCAGATTCCTCGTCTAGATTATCAGCACCTTGACAATGAGACTGTGTCGTGTGCATCTCGGCATTTCCAAGGTCTGTCGTACTGCCTGCCACATAATTAACGATCAATAAATACTGGTTAAATACTAATAAAAAGAAACTCCACATTTGTTCATGGATTATGTTTGTCCCATTTTCTCGCCCCACATGCTCTCTTTACTCATGCTAATTCAGTGACTCTCTTAAGATTGTCAAAAACTGAACACAGTTCACCAGATCTTTGACCAACATAAAATGGAGAAAAAAATATTTTGTGCCTGGGTGTTTTACTTCTGGTAAGAGAAACTGAAGATTGCATTGGCTTATTTTTAAAGCGACATCATATTAAGCTTGTGGTCAACTGAAATACTAAGATGTTTTCATGTGGGTTTCTGCCAAGCGGCATCTCTTTCATTCTGCATATATGCAATTGACCTTGAACCCAAAATGTAGAACTTTATATATTGCTTGTTTCAGCTCAAAGTTAAATCTAATCAAAATCACTTTGAATTTGATGCTGTCAGGGACGACATTAGCAATTCTTCCTGGGTCCAGGTCGCTAGCAAAGTTGACATGCCTCTCTTTCCTGTTTTTATCCCACTCTTTGACAATGACCTTGAAAGGGTTGGAACTGGGACAAAAGCTACAATACAAACTATCTCCTACCATGTTGATCCCAAACCACTCAGGAAACTCACAGGTAATCAACCACAAGATAAAAGATACACTCCAAAATACTGCCAGACATCTCTTATTTCTCCATTTTATCTACAAAAATCTTATGGGTGACAGGTAAAATTTTTTCCTAAAGCACAAACATACTTTGTCTACTGTAGCCCCTGAAATTTGCCAAGTAATCCATCAAAATAAACAGAACACAGCTTGTATGGTACAACTTCTTAGCATGTATATGCTGGCCCTGGTGCCAATGGCACATTTTCTAAATCTCATAATCCTCTACCCCTTTTAAATATATTTAATTTAGACTATAGTCTGTCATCGATGTTGAGCTGACTTTATACGGTTGCGATCCCATCTGATGGTATAGCCAATCTTATTTTTATCTCTTCCAAGATTCTTCAAAAGTTAGCCACTGTGACGATGACATCATAGTACAAGTTCTTTACACATCCCAGGGCAAAGTTATTTAGACTTGAATACACTTTGCCGAGGGTCACTTTCATAGGCAAGCATCTGCAGTCAGACACCCATTATTATTTCTTCCGATTTTTGCCCGATGCTGCAGGATGAGGTGATGGAACAGGCCTTTGTCACCCTGAACATCAACTGTTAAACACAGTCACCTGGTGAGAAGCGGCTCATCCTCACCTCGGAATGCTCACCTGGTCAAGATGAAGAACCCATACATGTGAGTATTTATCTGATCTTCTGATGCTGGCCGTATGAAGGGCATCAGAATGCTACCCGCAGTACCAAGATGCCAACCTGATTGTCACAAAATACCAAGAACTTAGAAGACCTTCTAGAAAAAAACATCAGAATTAGCGATGACAGTCACAGGGCAGGCTCATTCCTTCCCTGACAATACCTCAGGTTGCTCTTAGAGTAGAAGGTACCAGAACCAAGAAGTAATGGGAAAATGTCCTATCAGAAGAAGCTTTCCTCTTCCTTATTCCTACAGTCTTTGCTCGGCGTGTAATAAGCTTTGGAACTAGGTGGGCGACATCTATGCTCTTGTTTCCGTAATATGTCAAACAATGGCACCAATAAAATATCCTAAGATTTAGGGTACTAGGCTAGGCTTTGTTTTCCCACCAGACTCTGGAACTCCAAAACGCCATAAGCTTTCAAAAAGGGACCCAGTAACAAACTCGTTTTATGGTAGAGTATTACAATTTGAGTCTTTAAAAGATTTCTTAGAGATAAAGTAGTCAAATGGCTTTTTTAAAAAAAAGTATGGAAATCGAAGTTCAGAGAGGTGCAATGACTTGCCCAAGGCCACACCGTTTTCAACACACGGAGCTGGCCCTCCGACCCAGCGCTTTGCTGCCCGGGGCTCCCTTCGCAAGAACAGGCTGCTGCTCCGTTCACAAGTGAGTCGTGGTTTTTCTCCTACCCTTTATTTCCGCTCTTTCCAATTTGAAGATGTTTTATCTTCCGAGATAAATAGTGAAAGAGAACAGAGTTTAAATAGTTCTGGCTTCTGCTAATATCATGCCCCATTTTCTAAGGGTGAGAATATGGACAGTGGTCAATTTAGAGATGGAGAAGCCAGGGACAGAGAAACAGGGCTGA